GATTCTTGATAAAAACGAAAGACAGCCCCTCTCCTACAGACTAGCTCCTAGTTGAGTAAACGCCCACCTGGCCATGTCTTAGATGGTCTGTGTGTTCACACGGATGGACTGTTGTTAGCATGCTCAGTGCTCTGCTAGGCATGGAAAGCCACGGTATTGAAGGAGATGGTTCGCTGCCCATGGTGCTTGGCTGAAAGGAAGCCTGTGATTTTTACAGCTGGTTGGCTCTCACTGACCCCAGGGATGTGGCCAGGATTGAAAGCAAGACAGTTATCGTCACCCAAGAGCAAAGAGACACAGTGCCCATCCCCAAAACAGGCCTCAGCCAGCTCGGTCGCTGGATGTCAGAGGAGGATTTTGAGAAAGCGTTCAATGCCAGGTTCCCAGGGTGCATGAAAGGTGAGCGGAATATTGATTTGATTGGGAAAAATAGCAGAGAACCTTTTCTTATTACATCTATCCTAATGGTAATTCAAAGTGTAATGGAAGCTCCCACCACCTCAGACATCTTTCAGTTCCATACATGAAGTTGGCAATGTATCGAAAATGCACATCCCTCTTCTGCTTTTACAGACTGTCTTATACAAACGTGGAAACTATTTCCATGCATGTGGGTTTTAAATAGGTTGGTGGGACCTGGTTGCACATTTATGAAAACTCTTTAATTTCAGCAGGCTCTTCACTCTCCAGTGGCCTCCCCTAACCTAGGGGGGCTGGTGGCCAGCAGGGTGTGGTGGTGTTAGTGGAAGACTGTGAAAATGGGTCTACCTGGGAAAACAATGCTGGTTGTGTTCAAAATCCAAGGTCATTTCTCACCAGTGCCTACCCATCGCACCCTGTAGGTCGCACCATGTACGTCATCCCATTCAGCATGGGGCCGCTGGGCTCGCCTCTGTCGAAGATCGGCATCGAGCTGACGGATTCGCCCTACGTGGTGGCCAGCATGCGGATCATGACGCGGATGGGCACGCCCGTCCTGGAAGCACTGGGCGATGGGGAGTTTGTCAAATGCCTCCATTCTGTGGGATGCCCTCTGCCTTTACAAAGTAAGTGTATTATTTCAGAATCAAAAGTCAAAATAAAAAAAGAAAGCTGAACAACAAACCCCAGCGGGTGCCTCGGGAACCCCCAAACAGGGCCCTGGCGCACTGACGTGGGAGGGGTCCTTGTTCACAGAGCCTTTGGTCAACAACTGGCCCTGCAACCCGGAGCTGACGCTCATCGCCCACCTGCCTGACCGCAGAGAGATCATCTCCTTTGGCAGTGGGTACGGCGGGAACTCGCTGCTGGGGAAGAAGTGCTTTGCTCTCAGGATAGCCAGCCGGCTGGCCAAGGAGGAAGGGTGGCTGGCAGAGCACATGCTGGTGAGTCTGCAGGAAGCCCTGACGTGCAGATGAGAGGCCCGGGGGGTGGCAGAAACAAACAGCATTACAGTTCCCATCCAGCAAGACCCAGTACACCTTTCCGAGCATGCAGGTTCCCAGACAGATTGGGAAACCCCACCAGTAATGATTAGTGCACACGTATACGTCACTTTTGAAGGGCCCCAAACACCAGGGGACCATCGAGATCCTTTGGACTTCATGATTCTGGGAATGTTTGTTTGCACTGATACCTGAAGAAATAGATCTTGAGGGCCTACATTCCAACCTCTGGGCTGAAGTACCATCCTCGGGGAGAAGGGAACAAAGATCACAATAAAGAATCTTGTCCCCGGTGGGCGCGGTGGCTCACGCCTGTAATCCCAGCACTTTGGGAGGGCGAGACGGGCGGATCACGAGGTCAGGAGATCGAGACCATCCTGGCTAACATGGTGAAACCCCGTCTCTACTAAAAAATACAAAAAACTAGCTGGGCGAGGTGGCGGGCGCCTGTAGTCCCAGCTACTCGGGAGGCTGAAGAAGGAGAATGGCGTGAACCTGGGAGGCGGAGCTTGCAGTGAGCTGAGATCTGGCCACTGCACTCCAGCCTGGGCAACAGAGCCAGACTCTGTCTCAAAAAAAAAAAAAAAAATGAACCTTGTCCCCAACAGATCCTGGGTATAACTAACCCCGAGGGTGAGAAGAAGTACCTGGCAGCTGCATTTCCCAGCGCCTGCGGGAAGACCAACCTGGCCATGATGAACCCCAGCCTCCCCGGGTGGAAGGTGGAGTGCGTTGGGGATGACATCGCCTGGATGAAGTTTGACGCACAAGGTGACTCTTTTAGACCCAACTGTTGGTAACGATTGGACTCAAGTGAATTATCGGCCTTCAAAACATGCCACGTTCTCCTTGATCCAGTGTTTGGATTTTTAAATTCTGTTAGTCCAGAGTTGGCCAAACCTTAGAAATACGTATTCTGTAAGAATTCTTCAATTTAATATTCAATCTGGATTGAAACTGGGCCATATGTTGCTGTTTGTTTACATACATACATTTGTTTAAATGGTATTGGTGGAAAATTGTGGAGGAAGCAAGAATTGTAAACATCTCAAAGTTGCATATGATGCTTGGATGAAAAGAGATAAATGTACATTCTAGGGAGGGAAAAAAGATTTGAGAAGTTGGCATAGAAATTAGTCCGGCAAGATATAAGAGTATATGTTCTGCTTTGCCTGGCACCCACTACTACTTCTCTGGTTTAAATCTCCAGGTAATTTAAGGGCTATCAATCCAGAAAATGGCTTTTTCGGTGTCGCTCCTGGGACTTCTGTGAAGACCAACCCCAATGCCATCAAGACCATCCAGAAGAACACCATCTTTACCAACGTGGCCGAGACCAGCGACGGGGGCGTTTACTGGGAAGGCATTGATGAGCCGCTAGCTTCAGGCGTCACCATCACTTCCTGGAAGAATAAGGAATGGAGCCCAGAGGATGGTGCGTCCCCGCCAGAGGCCTCGGTGTGCTGGGCTGCAGGGACTGCCTGTTTGAGCCAGGCACTCATGGGCCTTTCTCCATCTTATAGGGGAACCTTGTGCCCACCCCAACTCGAGGTTCTGCACCCCTGCCAGCCAGTGCCCCATCATTGATGCTGCCTGGGAGTCTCCGGAAGGCGTTCCCATTGAAGGCATTATCTTTGGAGGCCGTAGACCTGCTGGTGAGGTTCTCGTTCATTTAGGCTGGGAACATGGGTGTGCTGGGTACCGAAGGGCATCTGTGAAATCTCTGCTTTTCCATGACCTTGTCAGAGGGTGTCCAGGGGCTTCCTTTCTTGAGCTTCCTTTCCAAAGAGCCAGAATAATTGGCAAGTTCAAATGTAGAACCCTTCTGGTCACCTGGAACCTTTCTGAATCCTTAATCTATCACAGCTTGATCAAATTTTACTTTTTACTTTGTGGCCTCAGTCATGTAACCTTGACTTAGCAGTTTTCTGCAGTTTAGCTTGGTGAATGCAAAACTAGCTCGATTACAAAGTTATTGTCTTTCCATGTTGTGAATAACACCACTGGTTGTAGAGGCTGAATTTTAAAGCCTCTAATGAATGTTTCTTTTTTTTTTTTTCCTGCTAAAGGTGTCCCTCTAGTCTATGAAGCTCTCAGCTGGCAACATGGAGTCTTTGTGGGGGCGGCCATGAGATCAGAGGCCACAGCAGCTGCAGAATATAAAGGTAAGTCAAAGTCCTGATTTGAAACCACAGAGAAGTGGGATTAGAGCGCTCTTCTTCACTCTTATGTCTCTCTCTTTCTCTGTGTCTGTGTGTGGGGAAAGAGAGAGAGAGAGGAGAACAAAGCATGCTGATGTCAACAATCAATGGGGCCAGTTTTGCCTAGGAGAGCATCATTTACCAATGGAAGCTCCCTCTCTGTTTAACAGGCAAAATCATCATGCACGACCCCTTTGCCATGCGGCCCTTCTTTGGCTACAACTTCGGCAAATACCTGGCCCACTGGCTTAGCATGGCCCAGCACCCAGCAGCCAAGTTGCCCAAGATCTTCCATGTCAACTGGTTCCGGAAGGACAAGGAAGGCAAATTCCTCTGGCCAGGCTTTGGAGAGAACTCCAGGGTGCTGGAGTGGATGTTCAACCGGATCGATGGGAAAGCCGGTGCCAAGCTCACACCCATAGGCTACATCCCCAAGGAGGATGCCCTGAACCTGAAAGGCCTGGGGCACATCAACGTGATGGAGCTCTTCAGCATCTCCAAGGAATTCTGGGAGGAGGAGGTGGAAGACATTGAGAAGTATCTGGAGGATCAGGTCAATGCTGACCTCCCCTGTGAAATCGAGAGACAGATCCTTGCCTTGAAGCAAAGAATAAGCCAGATGTAATCAGAGCCTGAGTGCTTTACCTTTAAAATCATCCCCCTTCCCATCCATAAGGTGCGATAGGAGCGAGAGAGGGCAAGTTTTCCCAAATTGATGCCACCATAATAATCATCACCGCCGTGCGCAGATCTGAAAGGCACACTTTGATTTTTTTAAGGGGAAGAACCACAGAACACCAGCTAGTAGCTAATGAAAATGAGAAGGGAAATCTTGGCATGCCTCCAGAAATTCACACCCAATGCATAGTTTGTTCAAATTTAAGGTTACTCAGGCATTTGATCTTTTTAGTGTTTTTTCACTTTAGCTATGTGGATTAGCTAGAATGCACACCAAAAAATACTTGAGCTGTATATATATGTCTGTGTGTATATGTGTGTGCATGTACGTCCACATGTGTCTGTGTGGTATATTTGTGTATGTGTATTTGTATGCACTGTTATCGAAAATATATTTAATACCTTTGGAAAAATCTTGGGCAAGATGACCTACTAGTTTTCCTTGAAAAAAAGTTGCTTTGTTATTAATAAGTGTGCTTAAATTATTTTTATACACCATTGTTCCTTACCTTTATATAATTGCAATATTTCCCCCTTACTACTTCTTGGAAAAAAATTACAAAATAAAGTTTTATAGAAAAGATGGATTTGCTTTGCTCGGTTTTTCTTATTTGAGCTACCAAGCAGAGTGAACTCTGATTAAGCATCTTGTGATTTAAATCCCTGCCCCCTCCCCAAGAAGGTGGGGACGTTCAGAATCACACTTGAAGAGCGGGTGGGTTGTCTGGTCCCAGGGAGAAGGAAGGAGCAGATGGGGAGGAATGAGGCCGGGAACCGTGGTTGGGGTTTTCTGAATTTGTTGAAGCCACTAGTTGGCGCCCTTTAACAATTCTACAAACCTTTAGATGGTGAGGCTTCTGTGGCTGGACTGGGAAGGTTTAATGTCTGCTTTTTGACAATTTGGGTCTGGAGGGGGCTTAGGCTTCCACAAAAATTACTTTGTGGACAGTTTCATAGGCTTTTGCCTTTTAACTCTTCAAAGCAACAGTTTTCTCAACTGTCATCCCCGCGGGGGAGTGGGGAAGACAAGTGTTCTTGAGAAGGAAAAGCTGACAGGATCTGGGTTGAGCAAGCATTAATTGAGCGCCTTCTGTGTCCTGGACATCATGCCAACACCATGGGCAGCCCGAGAAGAGAGGTGGGTGGTTTGGACCCCAGCTCTGCCTTGAACCTCACCTGCTCTCCTCTACTCCCAGTGTTTATTGGATATTCCAGAACGGTACAAACAAACCATAAACTTTATATTACAGGTTCATTCTGTGTAAATACTATTATCTTCAAGTTGTAGTTTCTTTCTTGGGTCCAGGCTGTGAAATTGGCTTCACCCCTACCACACCCCAGCGGACAGGCTTGTTCTCATGTCACGCTCCACCCCTCCAGTCTCCTCAACTGGAAAACTTGCCTCTTTTCCTCACTTCCTCTGCTCCTTACGATGGCTTCACATGGAAGGTGAAGCCGAGATCACCCCAATTTTACAGGCGAGGAAACTGAGGCCAGGAGTGCCTATTGGGGCTGAGAAATTGCCAGGATTTCCTTCCCCATTAAGGAGCTGAGAGTCCTAGCTCCAGACTCATTGGCTTGTTCTAACATCAAAACCACTGATGGGAAAAACCACTTAGTGGAATTCAATGCTATCTGCTGTATTAGTTTAAATCAGTGGCATTCAAACTTGTTTCTCCTTTTCACTGCAGAACACGTTCTTGACATGTACTTGACTCAGAGTCCCACGACTAAAGGAGACAGAGCTCAAGGCAGCCCACCTGAGGCTGGGGAGGGAGTCCAGAGTGCAGGCCACCTGGCCCCCATTTCCCCACCCCTTGGGGGCCTTTGGGCAGCTCCTTGAACCCCTGAAAGGGGCCACCAGGATAAAGTTTGTTAAAATGCATGCCTTGTGCCCCACTGTCATATGATGGGCTTTTGGTACTCTTCACTCCCCCAGCAGGCAAAGACACTGGCCATCCCCAAATTCCTTCCCCTCCTGCACAGCGTCACCCACCTGCCAAGCAGCCTCATGTTGGACCATTTGCCAGCAGGCCCTGCAGGTCTGGGGGACAGCCTAGAGGTGGTGACTTACATGCGCAGCATAAGAGTTTTCAGGGGACCAAAAGGACTCAATACATGCCATTGGCTCCTGACTCAGTTTCCCCAAGCCATGCCTCCTGAGTGCTCCATCTGTCTCCAAATCCTGGTTTCTGTGCGGGGACCTCTGTCTACAATAAACAGGATACTATGAGCTCATTCTTCAATGTCCTCTTGTCATGCTTTCAGATGATTCAAAGTATATAAGCTAAGCCCATTTGCAGGAAGCTCATAGAGGGCGACTGGCTCATCACTTGAAAATACGGTTGGAGTGAGATGGAGAGCCCAGAGTCTCCTGATTCCTGGTCTACCACCGGACCACATGGCTCCAAAACCAACACTGGAACTGACGTCCTCTACTGGAATCCAATGTAAGAGCTGCCCCCTGACCTCCAGGAAGCTGTGCTGGAGTCTGGGTTAAAGACCAGAAAACAATAGTTACGCAACAAATATTGAACCAGGACAACAAACCTGCCCTTATTACCAGTCGAGTCATTTAGGGGGCACTGGCAGGTAGGCAGGTGGGGTGGGGTGGCTAGGTGGAGCCGGGCACACTTGGGAGCCAGGAATTACAGGGCTCTCTCTCTTCTCTCTCTCTCCCCTGGGGCCCACCCTAACCTGGAGCCCCCTGGGCTGCTCACTCGGCCTTCTGGGTGCCAACAGCCTGCACCTTCCAGAGTGCACGGTTCTGGCTTTAAGACCGCAGGGCATGGGCCCTACCAAGCTCCCTTGACCTGCAACCCTGCCAGAGGGCACCAAGCCAGGGGAGTAGCCTCTGCTTTGTCCTCGCTGTCAGCAATTGCAGCAATGGCCCCAGTGAATTCATCTATAAGAAAGAGCTGGCCACCTGCTTCCTCCCTCCTGCCCTTTTTCCTTCCCTGGGGGCAGTAAACACTGGCAACCTTGAACATATCACAGCTCTGCCGCTGGCCAGTGGGGTCTTCTTCTGTCTCCTCTGTGCCACTGGGATCATAATACCTCTGGTGGAGTCCGATAAGGATGAAATAAACTAGCCCAGTGCAGTGCCGAATCTGTAGTCAGGAGGGTCTGTGTGTGAGCCACAGCCCTACATCTCCCTGGGAGTGTGCCCTTAGGTGAGTGCAGGAAATACTGAGCTTCAGTTTCCTCAGCTGTAAAATGGGCGTGATGATTACTTTCTCCAGGGGGTTGTTGAAAAGCATGAGATGATGCCAGCCAGGAACTTGGCACACAGCTGGGCCTGGTGGGGGCGGCTGTTCTTGTTTTTATTTTACCCCACTTCTCCAGGCTATGGGAGCTCGGAAGCTCGCTCCCCCACCAAGCCGCTGTCCCACTGATGACCGGCTGTGGCTCTGGAGTTGAAATCTGTCCTCGGTGCAGCCTCCACAACTCCTACTTTCACTGTGCATTTCAGGAAAAGGAGCTGAAGAGCGAAGTCAATCAGGAGTATCGGAAGCATTTTTTCTCCTGGTGTAGTGAACCCATCCCTGTAGGGAGCCACCTTCACCCTTCTCAAACATTTTAGCAAAAGACTCAGAGTTTGGGTCCAGGAATTCTACCTTTAAGAAATGTGTCCTAAGAGAAAAATCATGAAAGTCTGCATAGATTTCATTGCAAGGATGCTCATTATGGAGTTGTTTATCAAGGCCAAATTTAGGAACCAACCTAAATGACCAACAATAGGAGATTACCTAAAAGAAACTGTAGTTCTTTTGAGAACAGACAACTAGGCAGTCATTTAAAATGACTCGGCAAAAGATAAGTTATTGACATGCAATATTTGCCACCTGCTTCACCTGTCAAGGTAGATAATGAAAGCGTATCGAGTATTTGTACATTTATGCTTAGAAAAAAAAACCTTTAAAAATACCATACAATGGTAACAGTAGCAGCTGGGTCCTGGGTTGGATGGTTGGGGGAAGTGCACTGCGTCATTCATATTTTCACCATGTCATTCAGGCTACACGAACTACCCCCAGAACTTTGCTGCAAAAAAGGGAGCTTGGCAGAGGCAGGGGGTGCCCCCAAATTGAGAAAACCCTGAAGGAACTGACTTTACCCCAATGATCTAAGATAAAGTTTCTTCCACGGGATGAAATGGGGGCTTGAGACAGAGATGAATTTCAGATGGGTTATCCAGCAGATGAACTTGTTTCTGCTTTCCTAAAGTTTTGTCTGGAGTTTTTTTGCTCCTCCTCACACAGGAAGCTCAGCACAGCGAGGGCCCTTGAGAGGGGTTCAAAACACAGGCACTTGTGAAGGCCCCGCTCCCAGGACCCCCAGGCAGATTACAGGAAGAGTGGCCGGCACCGGGTCGATGCCGGGCTGATTGTTGTAGAACTGTTTCCACGCACTATGTTCTCTCTACCTTCTGGGCCCTCTCTTAGCTCCAGGACTAAGCTCAGAGGTTTCTCCGATGCCGCAGAGCCGGGACTTAGGGATGCCGCAGAGGAGCAGCGGACGTCATTTGGTCCACAGTAGCACTGAAGTGGGACCAAGAACACATTTGCCTTGTTGACACCTGCTTGTGTCTTTGCGTTGGACACTTATTCCTGGGGGCGCTGGGCCTACGCAGCCTGAGCTGCCCCAGAGCTGTTTCGTCTGTGAGCCCCTTGGTAATGGGATATGTAAATGTGTGAGTGTTCACCAGTCTGAATGGCAAAACTCCTCTCCAGGCGAGGCAATTTGCAGCAAAATATGCTGTAAATATTTGTTCAGCCTGGGAAAATGACTCTAATTGCATAATTAAACTCGTTGTTGATGTTGCTTCCGGACAGAGTAACTGCAGAGGAGGGCCCAGCCTGCAGCTGCCCTTCAGAGCTTTTTCAATAGAGGGACTGACTGTTTGCAGCGATTTTCTCTGGCCCCCGTCTCTTCACAGGGAGAACGAAGAAAGGAACTGGAAAGAGGTTGTCTGTGGGGGAGACGAGGGTGTGGAAAGGTCCCAGAATCAGAGGACCACCAGTGTGGGGCCTCGCAGATCTTCCCTGAGGATTCGGGCTATCTTCCAAATGTCCAACACACGTTCCACATTCCACGGACAGCTGGTAACTTGAGCCAATGATTCATTCACTCAAATGGAAAAATATTAGTAGATTGAAAGAGATTTGCTTAAAAAGACGTTAGATCCCAACTGGATTCAAAACCAGCATTCCTTGCCAAGGTAACCACAGAAAGACAATGCGAAGTGAAAGAAGCAGGCCACACAAGACCCCTGTATTGCATGAGTCCATTGATATGAAGTGTCTGGAATAGGGAAGGCTGTAGAGACAGTAAGTAGTTAAGGGGTTGCCGGAGGTCAGGGAAGGAAGCAATGGGAAGGGACTGCTGACCCCTGACCCTGATAGCCGCAGGGTGTTTTGTGGGGGGTGATGAAAATATTCTAAAGTTAGATTGTAGTAGAGTTTCCAGAATCCTGTGAATATATTAAAAACCATTGAATTGTGCATTTGAAATGGGTAGGTTGTTTGTTTGTTTGTTTGTTTTGAGACAGAGTCTAGCTCTGTCGCCCAGGCTGGAGTGCAGTGGCGCCATCTCAACTCACAGCAAGCTCCGCCTCCCGGGTTCACACCATTGTCCTGCCTCAGCCTCCCGAGTAGCTGGGACCACAGGCGCCTGCCACCAAGCCCGCCTAATTTTTTGTATTTTTAGTAGAGATGGGGTTTCACCATGTTAGCCAGGATGGTCTCGATCTCCTGACCTCATGATCTGCCTGCGTCGGCCTCCCAAAGTGCTGGGATTATAGGCGTGAGCCACCGTGCCCAGCCTGAAATGGGTGGGTTTTATGATAGGTAAATTATAGCTCCATAAAGTTGTAAGTAAAAGAATAAATATAACTAAGATAAAATATACCAAAGGCTTTGAGTTAGAGGCCTGCATTCACCTTGTTGAAAAGAGAATTGAGGAAGGAAGAGGTGTATGCACCCCACTGAGACCCTCTCCTTTGAATCTGGAGGAGTAAAAAAAAATGGAAAAAGGATGGACTTTCTCCTTATAGATTCAATGTCATTTAATGCCAGGCCAATGATCCTCCTAAAACTACCACGAATACCATAAAATTATGTCATGTCACCTGCAACTGGATGAGAAACTGAGGCCACAGAGAGCAAAGACCTGCAAAAGTTACTTGGCTAGCAGGTGGGAGAGTAGGAGTCACCAGGAGCCTCAGCTTCTAGGCTGACCCCACTGGCATTGAGTCAGGAGACCAAGAACCCCACCCTAGCCTCTCGGCCCATCAGGAAACCCACACAAACTGCTTAGGCAGCTGCAGGGAGGGTTTGGCTCGTGTCACTGCATAGGGGAGGGTCTAGACACAGGGCAGGGGCCCTGGACCCAGAGGCTCCAATATGGCAGGAGGGTCCTATTTCCTTCTCCCCTCTCCCTAGCAGCAGAAATCTCTGGAATGGAAGTATTCAGTCTAGCCACTAAGCTCCTGGGGTGGCCTGAAGACAGTCCCTTCCTCTCCAAGTCTATTTCCCCAGCTGTACAATGAGCACTCTGCCTTGGTCCCTGAAAGTCTTCCCTGCCATGAGGTTGGAGTCACATGGTTCTTTGGTGGGACTCTTAGAATTAGGATTTGGTGAGTCCAGGTCTAGGCGTGGGGAGAGTGACAAGGCAGAGAGTGTGGCTGACTTCACGAAGACATGATGGGAACAATTCCACCCCAAGTAGTTCACTGCAGCTTAGCAGCGTGTCTGAAATCCCACCACTGGGGACGCCTCCCACTCCCCTGTTTGCCCCACTTGATGACACCGTCTATCCCCACCTGCTCCTGAGTTTTTCCAGTCCCAAGACCTGGGAAAGGACAGTGGGGAGCACGAGGTTTAGACTCATAGGCATAACCCCGTATCCCCTCCGTTCTGGCCCAAAGCCTGGTTCATCCACAGGCCACAGAGGTCAGCTAGAAATCCCCAGCCTGCTGCTGGTTGGTTGTCTGCAGGGGCATGTGTGAGCTGTTTAGCTCAGACCTCAAGACAATTGATCTCTCTTTAAGAGAAGCCCCTGGCTTCTCCCAGGGAGATGAAATTGGACCTGTTCTATGGCCCAGAGGACAGCATGAGGACCCTCATCCCAGTAAAACCAGCATCTGGAAGACCTTGTCTGCCATGCCAGCTGCCAACCTCTGGAGGGTTCAAGGTTATTTTTCAAGGATAGGTGAAGATAGCTCCTTGCACCCAGTGGAAGCTGGAAGAGTTTGTGAAATTCTCTGCCAAGGCCAAGGCTCCCAAATCTAGGTGAGCGGACACATGAGCCTGGGCTGCCCAAGACTGGCCCTGGGAGACAAGTCTAGCTCAGTTGGAGCCTCCTGGGCTGAGCCCAGACCCTGGAGTTGGCATTAGCCCCCTGCCCCATAGTCTCCCTGGTTAATAGAATACTCTGCCCACAGAGGTGAACTCAGGTCTGGCCTCTATGGGTGCGGAGGCTATGGCTGTCTGTTTGAAGCCTCAACAAGGGTTCATCACCATTAAGGACGGAGACCAGGGAGCCGGGGGGCCGGTGACTCACTCAGCAGCTGCTCCCCTGTTATGTAAAGTGGAGCTCAGAGCCATTAGCCGATAGGAGATGAAATTTACATTTTGAATTAACTCGGATCATCAGAATGCTTCATCTCGACCTAGGGAAATTAAACATCAAGTTGGAGGGAACTGTGGGCAGGAGGGGTGGGGGCTCAGCCAAGCATGCCGGATTGACTTTTTCTTTTCATTTTTTCAACAGGCTGCAGGCAAAGGGGACAGGAGGACGCTGCTGTGAAGTCAGTCTTAAAGAGAGAGGGAGAGAGAAAGTGGAGTTACTCTTTTTCTCTGTTTTCCTTGGGCAGAAGCACAATAAATCAGCATGGCAGAATTAAATTCAGATCTGTCCGATTTCCTCCATCTCACCCTCTCCTAATAATGGTTATTTATTGAACGCTTATTATGTGCCCAGCACTTAACTAAACACTTTATAGATAAGGCAGAAGTGAATTTGTCTTTCCCCTTCTTTGTTTCCCCAACCCGCATTCCTGAGGGGTCTGATGAGAGAAGTAGAGAGAACGAGTTTTATGAACACAAAGTGCTGAGTTATGTTAGGAAGAGTCTGCTGGGTCTTTTAGAGGCAACATTTGGGAATCTGAGTCCCTAAAGCCTCCTGTGACCACAATGCACAATGAAACCTGCTGCTCTGTCCCAGGGGCCCTGTGGACGGCACCCCCGGAGGTGTGCATTGTACCTCTCCTTTCGGAGCCCAGATGAGAGACTACACTGCTGTTCTGAGTCCAGCCTTGCAGGCTGGGATGGGGACTCAGGAGGAAAGGTGAAGGTGTTTCCATCTTCCTTTGGCCTCGGAGTTTGTCTGTGATCAGCTGCTAGTGACAGTTTCCTTCCTGGAAAGGGACTTAGTCCAGATGCCCTTCTAACTTGGTTTAGAACAGACTTCCTGTGTTCAGTCCATCAATCAGCAACCCTGCATCCATCCTCGATCTGCTGTCAACTCCCCAACAACTCAGGCTGTGGGAACAGGGGTTCTCTTTCTACTGGGTCTTCCTGGCCTCATGGACAAACTGACTCCCAGGAACTGGGTTACATGTAACTCAACTTTCTGTGGGTTCACTTGATGCAACCTCATGCCCTTCATGTCCTGCCCCGAGATGCGTCAGAAGTAGTCAGACCTCCTTGTACTGCGGGTATTGGTTCTATCCGTGAAGTGATGTTCCCTGGGGCCCCTCTAACATGGGGGTTACAGTCACTGCATAAGTGTGGAGAACAACTACTGATTCAAGGCTGTGCTGGTAACAGCAGGGTCAACTTTTCATGTTGCTGAGCATGAGAGAATGTGCTCTGAGGAGTGACATTTTTGTTCTGTTCCCAGCTAGCGGATGCTTCCCTAGAATGGCAATTCTCCAAGATCAATCTGTCACTTTCCAATGAATAGTTATCGAACAGCCTCTGACTGCCTGGCACTTAGAGTCAGTCCAAGTGCTTAGATGAGCTGATCAGGACTGTCTTTCATAATGAATTGGCCCCACAGGGGGCCCTGTCCTTTTCCCAGGGTCACTGAAAAACTTCAAGCCTCAAGGTATAAGGAGTAATATTTTGTCTAAGGAGAATCTACGTTACTATTCTGCCCCATTCAGAATTGCCTGATGGTCAGTCTCCTGTTCCATCCCCTCACATTTTGGAATTCTGCTTGGGCAGTGAGGGAAGGTGCATTTGCATTCTGCCTGCCTGCCTGCCTTCCTCCCTTCCTTCCTTCCTTCCTTCCTTCCTTCCTTCCTTCCTTCCTTCCATCCATCCATACTTCTGTCCATCAATCCATCCATCCATCATCCCATCCATTGATTCATCCATCCATCCATCCATCCATCCATCCATCCATCCATCCATTCATCCATTTGTCTATCCATCCATCCATCCATCCATCCACCCATTCACCCATCCATCCATCCTTCTGTTCGTTTGAGTCATCCATCCATCCACCCATCCATACTTTTGTCCATTGATCCTTTTATTCATCTATCCATCCATCCATCCATCTACTGTCCATCCATCCATCCATCCATCTGTCCATCTATCTATCCATCCATCCATCCTTCCTTCCTTCCTTCCATCCATTTATCCATCCATTCATTCATCCATCCTTCTATTCGTTGTTACAACCCTTTATTCTTCCATGTAATTATTCTTTCTCATATTCGCCAACTATCTATGCCTCTGGATGCTTGTCTCCATCTGTACATCCATCTAATGGTCCATCAACCTCCAATAAGTCACTCTTCTGATCTCCATTCAGTTCATCAATCAGCAACCCTGCATCCATCCTCAATCCGTCCTTTCATCTTATCACTAAGGACACATAGCTCCCCATCTGTGAGAGCCAGAGTTCGAATTAGCCCTGCCTGGCTTTTCCACATGCCTTCAGGATACAAAAAACTGCACCTGGACATAGCAGACCAGCTGGGTGCCCTGAGAGGTATAGACAGGTTGTTTCAAAGTTTCAGAGGAAGGAAAAGAGCATCAGGGAAAGCTCCTCAGAGGAAGCAGTGTTTGAGTACAATCATAAAATAACATCATATTTGGAAAGTCAAGATATAACTGGAAAAGTGTAGGCATTCCAGGGGATTATGGGATCTGAGTGAGGATTGGGTGGATGGAGGTAGAGTGGTTGGAGAATGAACAAAGGGTGAGTAGAAAGGCAGATGCTGTGTAGACGGCTGGAGGTTGAAGGGATGGATGAGTGGTTTGGTCAGATTAAAAGGTGTGGGAGTGGGAACAGAAGAAAGGTAGTGTAGCCCCCTCCCATGCTAGGGCAGATTATGAAAAACCAGGCCGTGTAACTGAGCAAAGGTTGATTTTATTAGACAGGGAGGTAGAGAAGCTTGTTGATGACGAGCGAGCTCCCAGGGAGAGTGGCCTTGTCCAAAACCTCCTCTGGTATTCTATACCCTCTGCACGGGGGTGGTGATCAGTGTTGTTCTTCTCAACTTGGGGATATTGGGGCCAGAGACACTGTGGAGTACAGGCCCCAACCCTCTGGCTGTTCTGCAGTCTGCCATCAATCGATTGCTCATGGCTAAAACTCCAGCCAACAAGGAACTTGAACAGCACAAGTCTAGAAAACAGGCTGTTGTCAAGAGTTTGACTGATGGTTTGGAGCTCAGAAAAAGTTTCCCCATGGTCATTTCTTAATGGCCGTTTCAGAACAAAGGGGCAGAGGCAACCAAACACCTTCCCAGGGTCTCGCCTCTGGCAGGGGAGAAATTGAGGTCTTTGATAGTTTCAGATGTAAGTGCTGCCCTGCTGTTAGGCTAAAATTTCCAGTATTTGAAAAGTTCCAAGCTAATTTTCAGGGAGGAAATTAGATGAGAAGTGGCTTTTAAAACATGGAGAATCTTATGTTTAAAAACTTGGGTTGCCAAGGAAACTCTCTCTCCAATATTTCCTTGCCACCATGTTGTAAATTAAGCCCCTAACTGAAAGGTAATTAAGGTAATTGGTGGCACCGCTGCAGAGAGAATGTGGCAACGTAGCCGGAGAGAAGGAGCCCCCAACTTTTTAGGGCACACAATCCTCTTAGCTCTGGGGAAGCTACATCCATTACTGCATGTGGGGCCCTTGAAGGCACCTTTGGAGGAGAAGGCAGAGCAGAAAACAGCTGTGAGCCGTGCTCAGTGAAAGGCCACAGAAAGCAAATCTGAAATGTCATGCTGCTACCCTGTTGGTTTCGAATAGGTGAAAGCTCCATGAGTCAGTTAATGAGCAGATCGGGAAGGCTACAGTGTTCTGGCCCCCTGTGGCCAGGTTAATGTATGTGGTATCAGGAGAGAGCTTCAGCAATCGTTTTCTGCCACCTTCGGGAAGGAGGCAATTTAGCATTTAGTTTGTGGTCCCAGCCATCCAGCAATCCATCTGTCTATTCATCTATCTCTCTATATGTTCATTCATCTAACTGTCCTTCTGAACATCCGTCTACCCATCATCTATCCACCCACCAAGTCAGCCATCCACCCATGTATTTGTTTATCCACTCATCCATCTATCTGTTCACCTGTTCATCCATCTACCCACTCTCCCCACATACACAGCTGGATGGATGGGCATGTCAATGAATGGAAGGATGGATGTATGGATGGGTGGATGGATGGATGAATAATGGGAGGGGTGAATGAGTGGATGGAGAATAGACAGACGGATAGTGGATGAGTGCATAGCTACTATCCATCTGTCCACCTATCTCCATTTACCTATCTATGCAGCCACCCTCCTACACATCCATACATCCATCATCTATTCGTCATCCATCCTCCATCCAACCATCTATCAGTTCATCCCCTACCCATCCATCTAGTAAGTAAACATTTCCTAAGCATCCATAATTATAGTGACAACATCTCCCACTCACTGAGTGATAAGGTATGTCAAGGCCTTTCCAGGCACAATCTCTTTAGATCCTTTCCTCAACACTGTGACTTGAGTTATTATTCCCATTCCAGAAATAAGGCAGTAGAGAGGTTCTTACAGCTAGCAAAGGTGACAGCTTGGATTTTAACTCTTGTCTGCACCCTGGGTGCAGATTCCTAGGAGAGGGGCAGTGGGTTTTATCATCATCTATCTCTGCATCTTTGAGCCTGGAGAACAAGATGTGGAGGAGGGTGGGGACAGAGAGCTTGGCTGAAGCACTGGGAAAGAGACCTGCGTCTCAGGCTCCAGGGGCCAGGGGCTCTCAGTGGCCCAGGTCCAACTGCCTTGGCCCTGACCTCCTGCCCTAGCACACCCTTCTGCACTTTTCTAGGCCTTTCCTCTTCCCCCGGGGTAAACACTGCCAGCGTGGTCAGGTTGCTGGTGCCAAGGTGAAAAGTCCATGGATCAGAAACCTGGCCCCCCTGGGAAGTGCTGTTCCCAGAAGCTGAGACCTTTCTTCCAGTAAACTTTGGCCGCCTCCTTTCTGGCCCTGACTCCCCATGCACAGGGAGTCCAGGTTCACATCAAAGGGGTGGGGAGGGGGAGAGAGGGGTGTGCAGCTGAGCACCCCACGGCCCGGCGCTGCACTGTGCTGGGGCTTCAGGTGCTTCTTCATAGTCAATTCAGTCAACATCCCAACTGGGGACAGGTCTCAGTCTTCTCATTTTGCAGAGAAGGAGACTGAGGTTCGTAGTGGCAAAGTAACTCTCCCCAGGTCACACAGTTAGTTTCAGGGAGAGAAGTCTCACCTTGAACCCTGATATCAGCAGGCAGCAGCTGGAGCCAGACTGTAGTGGGCCTAGGGGTGAGTAAGTGGGCTCCACTGTAAGCCAGTCACTTCTGAGCTGGGTGACCCTAAGTGAGTCCCTTAACCTCTCTGTGCCTCATCTCCCTCTTTCTACTTTCAGGGTTGAGAAGACTCACAGAAGGGGTGTACACCAACGCTTTGCATACTCTGGGCACTCAATAAATGCAGGCTCCATGTGGTAACTGTCTCCCATGTGTACTGGAGTTCTGCAGGGAGAAGTTCGTTGTGCGGAAGAGTCCCACGGCTGCATGCTGGCTGAGGGCTGCAGCTGCACATCGCAGAGGCTGAAACACCGGGAGAGGAGAGGATCGATCTGCTGTCATTCAGCCCCAGCAACAGCACCCCGAGGCGTGGCAGCTCCTCCACCACTGTTGCAGACTGCAGTCCCGGGAGAGGCTGCCACCTTGCTGAGGGGTGGGTGGGAGCCGGTCCCTGGGGCCGGGTGGTTCCCCTCCACAACCCTCTTCACAGGCAAAACCCAGGGACAGGTGTTAAGAGCTGTTTGTCATCCATCTAATGAACATTTGTTGAGTGAACCTCCTAGGAGCAGGAGCTGTCTTGTCCTTATCTCCTCTGACTCTGGTGCCCAGCACACTGCCTGGTGATACCCACTGGAGCTGACCCTCCCAAGGGCTCCTGTGTACCAGCAGAGAAGGCATTTCCAACAGGCTGCCTCTCCAAGCCCAGTCTACTCTCTAAGGCAGCCGTCTCCTGTGTCCTGCTCACCAGGCTTAGGGGGCCAAGATAACCAAGGTCACTAGGATCCCAAGGGACAGAGTGGGATTTGAACCCCAGTGTGTCTGCTCCGCCCCAGAGGCACTGCCTCCGCCACTCTCTCCATCTGCTGACCCCCAACTGCTTTGCAAATGTTACCAGTGTCCTACCGGTGGCAAAGGTTTGCTCAACCCGGGAGCATCTACTGAGTGCTGTCTCCATGGCAGGGGCTGGGGGACTCACGGGAAAGCCAGACACAGCCCAACCGGGGCTGAGGGCTTCTGAGGACACTGCGCCTGCTATGGTTTTCTGTCAGGGGCACCTGCCCGGGAGTCAACTATGGAAACACTTTGGAGCTGCTTCCCAAGGCCAGAGAGAAAGTCTGCCCCACTGCTCCTCGTGGAGTAAAATCGGAGTATTTACTCCCTGTGGAGTTTGCCCCAGGTGCCAGGGGCTGTACTGAGCCCCTTCCCACGGTCTCCCCTGAAAGCCCCTGAGGGAAATGCTGTCTTCATTCGCATGCTGTTAAAGAGAAACCCATAGGGAATTAGCCGTGAGCACCACCATCTTTCTTGTCCCTTCGAACATCTCCAAGTCAGATAATCATAACAATAGTGGCAGGCATTCCACATTCATACAAGCTGGCAGTCCATCCTGCCTTGGCCCCCGGCCCAGATAAGCAGAGGGACGTGGTGCTGCGCCCTGTATCTCTATGGATGGGGAAACTGAGGCTCAGGGCCGGGAGGAGGCAGATCTGAGGGCTCCCAAGTTTCTCCTCCTCTCGCAGACAGACTAAGAGAGTCACCCAAGGTCATCAGAGCTGCCGCGGCGGCAAGACAACAATGTTCTGACTTCTGGTCAGGTCCTCCTTCCATCACGACGCTCCGGCAAGGGAGGGGAGGCAGGCGTGGGGGCCGTCAGGGGCCTCTTTAATTCATGAGTTACTGGCAGAAGCACAATCTCCAGGGAAGATTGATGACCGGCTGCAGGTATTGGTGGGTGGATTCATAAAGCTGTCGGCAGCGGGCCGTAAATCAAATGAATATTCAAGATTCCGCCTCGGGAGCAATTCCCTGGCTCCGACAGTAACAAGATGGATGTGGGCAGGAAGGCAGGCGTGGTGGCCTCAGAAGCCCTTGGCCCCGGAATGAGGCACCGCACCTGCTCAGAACTTCTGCATCTGCCTGGGAAATCTGGGCAGCTCAGAAGAGGGAGGAGAGCAGATCATGGACCCCAGACCCCAACGTGGACCCTATGTTGAGGATTATGTTTTATTGAGGCATCATTTACTTGCCGTAAAATGCAGAGGTCTTAAGTGGAACGTGGGAGGAGTTTGGACACCTGTGTGTAATCACCACCCAGATCAAGGTCTAGAACACCCCATCATCACCCCAGAAAGTTCCCTTGTACTCTTCCCTGCTTACCCCCCCTCCCGAGCCCCACGCAGCCACTGCTCTTCTTTCTCTCACTGGAGTATGTGGACTTCTGTTGAGGACGTGGACTTGTCTGCCTGTTTTGCTCAGCTTTCTCTGTGTGGCTGAGCTGGGAGCAGCTCCCTGTCCTGCTCCGCTGTGCGGTCCCCCATGGCAAGCATCCGCCACAATGGTATGGGCCATTCCACCCTTCGTGGCCACCTGGGCTGTTTCCACTTTTGCCGTTCTGAAAGTCTGCTGTGAGTTCCTGCAAGGGTGTTTCTGGGAGCTTTTCTTCGGGTAAACACCTGTGAGTGGAAGGGCTGAGTGGAAGGGCTGGGTCCCAGGGCAGACATAGGTTTACCGTTTTAAGGAACTGCCAGACAGATTTCCAAGTGACTGTGCCTCTGCATTCCTGCCAGCAGCGGACCAGAGTTCTGGCACTCTGTGCTCATCCTTGCCAGCGGTGTTTATGACACCTGTTCAGCTGAGTGCAGTGGCAGCTCACCAGGAGACCCCCCCATCCTTTGCTCAATTCACCAAGTCTCCACTGGTCCTGGGACACAGCCTTTGCTGTCCTCTTACGAGCCTTTGGGGAAGGTAGCTCATCTTTGTGGCTGAGTTCAGGAGCTGAGTCTCCAGGATCTGCCCTCCCCACCGGGCTGCCGCATGTTCCTGGGGCTGCCGAGGCTGGGACTCAGAGCTGCCTTTTTAAGAACCCTCCCATGGCTGCCCACTGCTCTCAGGAGGCAATGCACTCTCCTTCCGGTGGACACGAGGCCCAGTGTCATCTGACCCTGGCCACCTCTCTGCCGCCACCCCAGGCCACCATCCCACCTGCTAACCATGGTCTACTGCCTGGGATCAGGTCCCACCCAGGACCTTTGTCCTGGCTGTTCCTTCTGCCTGGACTCTATTCTCCAGCCCCTTCTGTTGATAGCTGTGTCCAGGTGGAAGGAACGGCCACTGCCTCTGACAGTGATGAGATTGCTGTGGGCGAGATGCTGGGCACTCTCACCAGGGGGTCCCATCACCAACCTCATCCTCCAGACAAGGAAACTGAGGCCCAGCAAGGTCACTGGAACTGCTCAAGGTCATGCCACAGGTCAGGGGCAGAGAGGAGACCCGCCTGCATCTCAAGCCTGTGGAACCATCCCCTCCTCCGGAGTGGCCTGGCATCTTGTCTGGGAAGGAAGCTCTGGGCTGGCCTCGGGCACAGGCTAGATGATATGAAATGTCAGCCCCTCTTGGGATCCACACTCCCCCAGTAGGGCAAAAGGCACACTCGTGCCTCTTCCTCTACTGGAGAACATTTCCCCATTTCCCAACTCAGCATCAACTTCTTTCCTAATTCTGGGCCATATTGCTTCACCTCCATTAGCCCCTACCACAGACAAGTGTTCTGTGAGATGGAGAGGCTTTAAAAGTTAACACAGGAGAGAGGTGGCCAGCATCACTGGGTTTCCCCTACGATCTGGAGCCCCTGTCCATCCTGGTACAAGACCGGCCCCCAGGACTCATCAACATCCTGGAGGTCAAAGTCTCCGCAGGTGGGACAACCCAGAGCAAATCTTGTCCCACGAACTCTAGTCCCTTTGTATGCTGTTCTGTCCGGGGCAGGCTGGTGACAGAAGACACGGTGACCCCCACGCAGCCCAGGTAGCCCTGCCTTCTCTCCCCAGAGCCGAGAGCACTGATAGCCTCAATTGTTGAAGAAAGGGACCTGTCCCGGGGTCTTCACTTTCTAGGTCCTACCAGCAGCCCTGATGTCTACTGATGTCTACTGATGTCTACTGATGTCTACTGATGTCTACTGATGTCTACTGATGTCTACTGATAGAAATAGAAATCATTCTACTGATATCTAATATTGCTGTCATCCATCAGCGCCCCTCAAATCAACTCCCCAAAAAACAGTCACCTCAGATTCTCCCCGTTGAAGTAAAAGTTTCTTTTCCCAGACTTCTCAAGTCCGAGAACAAACCTTAGCAACACAGGCACGTCTCCTGGGCAGAGGCGTGCGTCATGGAAAACTTGGAGGTTGGTGATTGGGCCGCCTCTGCTGCAGAGTCAAGTCCCCGAACGCTTGAAAAACAACATAATGTATTCCTGTCTGCAGCTCTGAGCAAAAGCTCATTTTGTGTCCTGTGTTTCCATTTCCTGAGGATTAATAAGTGTGGAGGGGAACTCGGGCTTCGTGCCGAATATTTATTTAGTCAATATACACATCAATTTAGCAAATTAGAGATCGCAAGCCATTTCTAAGCAATGCTGTAAAAATAATAGCTGTACTTTAAACTTGTAATGGATTTTGGTTTGGTGGGAGGTGGTGGCTACTACGTGCCTGGCACTTGATAAACACAAAGAAGTTTAGTTCTCCTTAAACTTCAGTGGATGTCTGAGTCATTGGAGATGTTTGTTTACAAAGCAGACAGATCCTGTTACCCAGGGCACAGGCTGAGGGGTCTAGGGTGGGGGCTCTGGAACACAGGGAAGAGTGGGCTTCTGGTGAACGACCCTGTGTCTACCCCCGGCTGTGGAGGGCAGGGTTTCTCGCCGCGGGGCTGCGGTCTTGAGGGTCTGCGTGCCTGTCCAGGGTGGGGGCTGCTCTGCGCACCGGAGAATGTTCAGCCTCACCCCCGTCTCTGTCCACTAGATGTCAGCAGCAGCAGCCCCCTCCCCAGTTGTGACAATCAGAAATGTCTCCAGACACTGGCACATGGCCCCGGGTGGGCAAAATCTCCCCCAGCTGAGATCTCCTGATGTAGCGCAGGGTTCTCAGGTTCTCTGAGCCCCATTTCTTCATGGAGACACACATTCTCATGAGCAAGGGTTCTATCCCACAACCCGGTGAGAGCACAGCTGCTGCTCACATGGCAGAGCTGAGAAAACTTTGATTCAGAGAGGCACACCGACTTGCCCAGGGGTACACAGCACCCGCAGCTGACCTGGGGTACCCAAGGCCCTTCCAAGTCCTTGGAATGCTCAGTGGCCCCTTCTCATCCCTCGAGTCTCTGTCCCAATGTCACCTCCTCAGAAGGGCCCTGCCTGTCTCCCTGTGCTAGGGTAGGCTCTTGCCCCTGCTCTTCTGATGCTCTTTCTTACCCCTCTGCCGTGTCCCCCACAGGACTTGGCCTAGCAAGCATCGTGACTGTGTGCGTATTGACTTGTCCACTTCACTGTCCCCCACTGACCTGTGGGCCCCTCAAGGTGGGGGGTTCCTGAATGTGCTCCCTGCTGTTGCTCCAGGCCTTGATGCAAAGCAGACGAATCACAGAGCAATCAAATGGCTCACTGGAAAGGTTCCCAAGGCAAGGCTGCTGGCTGCACCACACCATTCATTCTCCACATATTTTTTGCTAACAAGGCCCCTGATTTTTAGCTCCTGGTCATATGGAAGTATGACCAAGTGCTGGCCAGTAAGATGTAAGTAGAAGTCTTGTGTGAAGTCTTTTGGGAAGTGTCCTTACAGGAAGAAGCAAGCCCCTGCTTATCCCTTTCTCTTTCCTGATGACTGAAGGTGGGATGTGATGGCTGGAGCACAAGCAGCTGCCTTGGACAACGAGGTAGAAGCTCTGTGTTGAGGATGGAGGGTCAACACGGTAGAAGGGATCTGGTCTTTGGAGACTTCTAGAAGTTGCCTTACCATGCCAAGCTGGGCTTCTGTTACATGAGGGTGAAGTCATCTTCTGTTTCATTTAAGCCATGCTGCCCCTAGGTCTCTGCTCCATGCACCACACTGAACCCTATCCAGTCCTCTAGGCTCTGAGACTGCCCAGGATGGAAAAGGGAGCAGATGTTGGTTCTGCCCAGGCTGTTCTCAAATAAGTGGGTCCCATGAGGTTCTTTAATTATTATAGAAGGAGCTCGCATATGCACTGTTGAGGCTAATCTGCCCATCTCCCAAGGTCAGGGGATCATTTGTGCCCCCAGGCGACAGGTGCGGTGCTGAGGGTCACAGGGATGTGAGGGGAAGTAATGAGCTAGGATTCAACTCCAGTGGTACCAGATCCTGGACCTGTGTTCCTTAGATGACACTGCTGCCTCTGACCTTCAGTCATGCCCATCCATCCATCCATCCATCCATCCATCCATCCATCCATCCATTTCTTCATTCACTCAATGAGTGTTCACACTATGCTTGCTAAATGCTGGGGACAGGGTAGTAAACACTACAGCTTCTAGAATCCTGGAGTGAAACAGACTAGTAGGTGGAGATAGACTGTGAGCCACCAGACAGAGAAACAGACATGGAGATTACAAAGCACTGGGCAGGGAGTCAAAAGGGGAGATGGAATTGAAAGTGACTAGTAGGGTGGCTTCAGAGAGAAGAGATGGGAAAGTATGCTCTGATCAGGGGAAGTGAGGTTGAGAAGTGAAGAAGTGGGGACTGAGGGCTGTGAGAGCTGGTAACGGTGCTCCAGGGAGAGGGAACAGCCAGTGCAAAAGTTATAGGCTGCGGGTGGCCCAGGCAGGTCAGGGGATGGGGAGGCTGGAATGGGAGGGGCCAGTCTTGAATAATTTTTGGTGAGGGGATCAGACCATGTGGACCCTGGTCAGGGAATTATAAGAAGAGCTGGTACTACACAGGCTCTTACTCAGTGCTTTGCATGTCATAGCTGATATTTTTGGTACCGACTTGTGTGCCCTTACCATTCATCCAGTGGTGACCAGCAGCAAACACCCATGACTTCCTGGGCTCGGAGACTTTCTCAGACCACTGCAGCTGCTCTTCCCATGCACCGGCAGGCTGTTCACACACTCCCTGGCTAGAAGCATCCTGCAACCAATGTCTGCCAAGATGGGTGGATAAATACCTCAGCTCCCTCACCTCCTGGCTGGAATAAACTTGATCTCAGGGTTATTGATGGTGCACTCTTCACTGGCTCCCAAAGTTCCCAAGAAGAGTTGAGCCCCCAGGGACAACCTACCAGCTAAGATGCCCTGTGTTGCTGCCTGCCTTCCCCTTCCCTGGCTCACTTTCTCCTCTCCTCTGCTAGGGCTTCCTGGGATCGCTCATGTTCTTGTCTCCCAGTCTGCTCCTGGGACAACCCAACCTGAAACACAGAATTTGCTCATTAGTCCTCATGGTGATGCCAGAGAGGAGGCACTATCATTGCTCCCATTGCAGAGAAGAAAATCAAACCGAGGCACAGAGACATTAAGTCATTTGCTCCAGGACACACAGGAAATGGCAGAGCTGGGACTTGAACTCCATGGAGGCTCTGAGTCTGTGTGTTGACCACCCCGTCTGCAGCATCGTTTATATTTGGTCCTGACTATGACTCGAGGTAGGCGGGGGTTCCATGCAGACCAGAGGTTCTTCAGCTGTGGTTCTTCTCTAGCGACAGCAGCAGCACCTGGGAATTTGTCTGAAAGAGTGATTTGGGTGGCTCACCCCCAGAGTTCGATTCTGTGGGTCTTGAGGTGGGCCCAGGAGGTTCTGGTGCACGCTCAAGTTTGAAAACCATTGGTGTAGGAGAGTGGTGTAGACATGACCTGCAGGAGAGGAATGGGAAGCAGCAGAGGGATCTCCATCCCTGGGAGGAGAGGCTTCAGGGGAGAGAAGGGGTTCGGGTGGTGGAAAGGGGTCAGATTCAGGCCACATTGGGGGTTGAGCCAACAGACTTGGAGGTGGATGGGGTGTTGGGGGTGAGGGGAGGAAAAACCAAACAGGACCCCTAGATGTTTGGCTTCTGTCAGCAAGTGGATCTCAGCAACATCCCCAGAGTGGGGAACACCAGGGGAAGCTGGCTGGGCAGGGCTGAGGGATCCATGTGAAAATGAGGGGGTGGCATGCATTGAAGAGGAACTGCCCTTCTCCCCAACCCTGCATTTTCCGGAAGCAAGACTCTTTCTGGGAACCTGACTCCCTCTGAGAACAAGCCTGGCTGAGGAGCTTTGGGAGGAGTGGGTTGGGGCAGGAGCCGGGGCCACTGGGTGGTGGTGAGGGGGGAGGGGTGGTGCACACACTGCAAAGTCCAGTCCTGTGGCCTGTGAAGGGAGCAACAACTGTGGTACCTGAGGAACCTCTGTTCCTGGAAGGGATGGTCAGGCAGAGGCTAGCTCACCCCACACCCCAGCTGTGATGTCCTGACTCCAAAACATCTAAAGCTCAGGGGAAAAAATAAGATAGCCGCATTTCACCATTGCATTTCAAAGCTTTCAGACAATGGTTGCCACCCAAAGATGGAAGCCCCCAAGGCAGGTCACCCTGCTGTGCAAAAAGGGCTTTGGCTGGGACATCAGTGGGCTCCCTGTGAATGGTCACATTGGAGAACAGAGTTATCCTAACATCAGCAACTGATTTAAGAAGTAGGCAATTCTTTTAAAATAGCATTTTAAAATATTTTCATCATTTAATTGTATGCAGTATTCATATGCCCAGAAAAGCAATCTCCATTACAACACAAGGATGCATGGGCAAGGACTGGGTGGTGGGGGAAAGGGGAATGCTTAGGACTTGCAGAAATATGGAGTTCAGTGGAGAGCTGTAGAATGGAAAGGATCTGAAGAGACGGCATATCAGGCAGGAGGACTGCCACGGAGAAAGGGATGGTGGTGGGAATGACCGTGTCTGGCCATCAGCTGGCAAGATGGCCCTCTGAGCTCAGTAGGAGATACCTGTGATGGGCCAGGTAAAGAAGCAGGTCTGACTGGAAAGGCAGGTGCGGATTCACTGAGCACAGGAGTATGATTTCTCAGGGCTGGCAGGTAGAGAAGGAAAACAGACACTTGTTTCTGGAAGGGGATAAAATCTTTGATTTTACTCAGTCTGATCCAACATATATTAATTGTGCACCTACCACGTGTAGGCACAGTTGTACGCATGAAGATACAATGGTGAACCAGACAGACATGGCCCTGTCCATAGAGCACACACTCTGAGGGTGACAGCTTAGAGAGCATCACGTGATGTTGTGTTGGTGTCGCCTGATGGGGTGAGGGACCTGCCAAGGTCACACAGGGCTGGATCAGAGTCCCAGGCCCTGACTGCCAGCCCAGTGCCTTTCAGCCTGTCCTTGAGCAGGGACTCCTGGGAACACACTGTGGGTGCACCAGGTGGCCCCAGTGCCCTCGTGAGCAGCTTCAGCAGAGGGTAGTGAACTCTCTACCCTGTGGATTCTTCTGGAAAGAAAAGATATGTTTTCTTGCTGCTGGTGGAACTTTAGCCACAAGGAACCTACTTTTCTGCCATATTTCTCCATACTGAAAGGGGTCTCTCAATTTGGGGCTGAATCTCAGACAGACTGAGGGGAGGGTGCCCCCCAGGCTCCTCGGGCATCCTAAGCATGTATCCGGAATTCACAGGAGGCATGGAATAAATTTAGACCAAGGGTGGAGAAGGCAGCTGTCAGAATTTTCAGCCTCCTTTCTTGGCGTGGGCAATTCTGCTCAGCCCAAACTTGCTTAGCCAAACCAAAGCCCTTTGGGGCATGGCTGTACCTCCTTAGAAGATGTCTGAGGTGGTATCTGCTGTTGTCCTGGCACATCTTCAGGAAAGAGGTCTCATCTCCAGTTCAAGTAATTTATCCTGGAATTCCTTGCAACCATAAACACACTAACCCCGAGAGGGGATTGGATAAATGTGAATTTCTCCATCTTATCACACTCCCACAGATGTCTCAGCAATGAAGCAGCTGGGGCCAGGGAGCATCTAGACTCACTTCTTAATTGGTCTCTCACTTAATGCTAAGCCTTCAGTACTTTCTCACCTGGGTGTCCTTTCTTCATGCTATTCACATATACAAAGCCACCACAGAATCATACGATTTAGGACCAGAAGGGATCTCTAAAAAATAACCAATGTGTTTCGGGTGCTACAAGCCAGGAACTGTGTTAAATGCTCAACCAGGATGAGCTCATTTGGCTTCCATTGTGAAACTGCTGCCTTAGGGAGCTGCCCAGCCCAGCCTCTTCATACACGCCACCTCAGCGACACAGACAGGGAGACAGCCCCCACCAGCCTGCAGGGCTCCCCTGATTTGTCCTGAACAGCCCTGGTCTTTTAAGGAGGCTTTTGAGGTTGATGTTGCCCAACATTAAGCAGAAGTGAGGAGGAAGCAAGATGGAAAAGGGGCACCCACTTGAGTGTGCTTGGACCCTCAAGCTGGCCCTGCAGACCCCACTGTGTCCTGGGAAGGCCTGGGGGGAGGTTCCGCCTCACTGTCTTCGGGGTGGTGATAGAGCCACCCATACTGCATCTCCAGCTCTTGTAAGCTCTGCCCGTGCTCTCATCCCTGCAGCCATGGGAGGTGGGGGCCACCTCTCATGCCCACAGCTGGCTCTTTGGGTCACGGTAAGAATTAAATGAGAAAACACATGTGGAGGGCTTAGCATGGGGCCCTGTGACTGGCAATCTGTGACAGGTGCAAGCTTCTCCTGAGTCCCACTTTACAGATGGGGAAACTGAAGCCAGAGAGGATAAGTGACCAAGCTGGGTTTATGACTGATCCTCTGGAGCCCTGATCCCATGCTCCTTGTGGACTTGAATGCTGGATGCCGCCCAGACCCCGAACACGTGTCCGGGGAATCAGGGCACCAGTAAGGAGGATGAAAATGAGGCTGTGCACGTGGAGACAGTAGTGTTTTCCCAGCATGCCCTATTAGGGAGGGGTTGTCAGTGCTCTCATTGTATAGATGGGGAGACCAGACCTTTTTGCCTGAGGCCACACAGGGAGGCAGGATTTGAATTCAGGTCTCTCAAACAGCAGAGGATGAGGGCTTAACACTACCATCCCTACTGGTTCCTTCTCACAGGCAGAAAGGCAGGATCCCCCTGAGGCAGGCTCCCAAAGGCTAAACCGTTTCTGCTGACACCCCCAGGACACACCTGGAGGTGGCCACAGTTTCAAGGCTGTTGGTGGCCGGAGGGTGTCATGGGGAGCGTAAGGACCCCGCAGCTTCACTGCCTGGGCTGGCGTCCTGCACAGCCACTTGCCACCTGTGTGATCCCAGCCTGTGTCTGCTGCTCTGAACCTGGCTCAGAGTTGGATAACTAGAGAAGAGCACATGGCACAGCTGGGATTGAACCCAGTCAGTGTGGCTCTCAGTCCATCCCAACTTCTTCCTACCCACTGCCTCCAGGTCAAGCATGTAAGGCTCTTAGCACCGCTGGGCACACAGCAGGTTCCTCACAAGCCCCACTACTGCTATGTGCCACGAACACCCCTGCTGCCCACCCTCTGCTCTGGGCTGTGTTCTGACCAGGGCCTGGCTCCCCAGGAGAGAGGAGGTATCCAGGGCAGAGGTACCAAGTCTGGGGGGTGGCCCTCTGTGAGCCTCTGGCCTGCTGGGCTCCTGGCTTGCAAATAGCCCCCTCCCCCGGAAATGCCTCCAGATTTAAACACACCCATGTGCTGAGAAAAATACCAGGCCCCCTGCCCCCAGTGAGCACCAACCAGCACCAGGGATTTTGCTGTCCCGGCAGTGGGGGTGTCCCCCGTGTGTTCCCTTCAACATCCACCTCCCTCCCAGGTGGCTTTGCAAGGCCTTGTTTTTCTTGACCAAAGTCCTGAGCAGAGGGGACGAGCTCAGATGGGGTGGGGCTGCTCCCAACTAACCCATAGCCAGAGTCTGAGAGCTGGAAGTTTCCAGCAAGAAATCCAGCCCGAGCCAACTCCGTTAATCATTCTCCGTGGATTCGGGACTCGGCCTGGATAGAGTTTTCAGGCCACAGGACGGCCCGGGCCCAGCATGAGGACGGGCACAAACATTCCAATGGGGGTGCTCTGGTGACCTGCCCAGGGAAGGGGCAGGGGCAGGGGTGGGGAGAGCGAACGCCCACCCTGTGGCTGGACAGAGCCAAGGGAGGCCCTGCTGTGATGCTGGAGGAGTGCTCCCCTGGGCTTGCTCACACCTCCTTCACCATGCTCCTTCCAGAGTCAGAGGGGTGGGACGGGATAAGATGAGAAATGGACTGGGAAACTGACCCTGGACAGCTGCAGAGACGCCCTCCTGCAGCCCACAGAGCAGGCTTCTGTGTATTCCTAAACACCCATGCGTACTTTGCGGAGTGGACTATGCCAGATTCAGACACGAGAAAGAAAAGAGAAGCATGGTAACAGGTGCATGAGATCAGCAAGGAGAGGCTCAGGCCTACTGGGCACATACTGTATGCCAGGCACCATGCCCAGCGCCCAGGAGCCACCTGTCTAATGCTCCCGCCATTCGAGCAGTAAGGACTGTCACTGTATCTACTTCTCAGGGGGAACACTGAGGCTCCATCGGGTTAGACCTTTGCCCAGGCCCCATGGTAAGAAATGGCAGAGCAGGCTGGACCTACATCCGAGCCAGGTGTGGAGCGGGCCTGGGTGGAGAGGGGCGAGGTCCACATGTCCCCTCAGAGACCCCGGTCCAACAGCCAGTTCCCCATGATGTGGTGTAGGGGTGGCTGTAAACTCTTAGATCCTGGGATCACAGACCCCAAGGCCAGGATCCAGACCTACCGCCACTAGCCGGAGTGGAGGGGACGTCACTGGCAGGGACTTGGGGCAGTGGGTGCAGTGTGGCCCCATGAGGGCCCAGCAGGGACCAAGCCGGGTGGGCAGCTGCACCCACTGACTCCTCTGCTTCTCCCTCTGTTTTGTTCTCTCCTCTCTCACAGGGACACCCACAGCCTCTGTCCAGCCAACTGAGCAGCTATTCATGGGGCCGGGGCGGTTCTCCTAGGAGAGCAGCCTACACTACAGGCCCATGAGCAAAGGTTGCCCAGAACAGGGCATCTGAAAGGGGCCTGGGGGCCTGAGGGCACGAGTGTGTGAAGAAGCGGGAAGGGAGCTCCATGAGAGGGAATAGCATTATGGCGGGGCTCAGAGACAAGGGCTAGGCCAGGTGCGCCTGGAACTGGCTGCACGGGCGCGTACGGTGTGCTGAGTTCTGGCTGGGGAGCAGGAGGAGGAGGAGGAGGAGGAGGAGGAGGAGGAGGAGCAGAGGGCTGGGTCTGGCGAACTGAAGGCTGAGTTCAGGAGTTCAGTGTTCTGATCCTGGGGGCGATAGGGAGCCACTGAAGGTTAGGGCCAGGGAGTAACAGGACTGGAGTTGTAGCTCCCAGGATCCCCTGAATGCTGAGAGAATGGACGGAGGGGCCAGAGGGACATGGGAGGCCAGTGGAGAGATTCCTTCCATAGCCAAGAGAGATGTGGTGGCTTGGCTGGAGGTGGTTTTGGAACTGGGGAGAATGGGTGAGTGGAGGATTCTACAAGTGGGTTTTGATGGGACCCTCCCCAAGGAGGCTTCACCAGAAGCAGAGAAGATCTTCCTGAATCCCAAGGGAAGATGTGGGGACCCTACCCTGCTGCTGGGGTGCCAGGAGGGGCCCTGTTGCGTTTCTCATTGCTCTGAGGGCTCCTGCCTCCTCTTTGGGGAGACAGGCTCTTCCCGTTTCACCAAGGAGCAGCTGGAAGCCCTCAGAGCAATGAGAAGGGCAAGGAGGACACGGGAGCTGTGCTGGGCCTTGCCATCCCCTACCAAGGGAGGACAAGCAAGCTGGCGGGGAAGGAGTGGGCCAGCTGGGAGGCCCCTCTGGATGTGCGGGCTGGGATTGAGGTTCGGGGTTTGGGTGGAGGCAGAAAGGTGGTTCTGTCTGGACGTTGACAGTCAGCAGAGGAGGTGGGGGGGGAGCTTGTCACTTCCAGACCCATCCTGCAGCCCCTCATCTCAGGAAGAAAGTCTCTGGATGGTCTATGACACCTCCAGCCCTGGCCTTAGATATCCCCTGTCCGAAACTGGAATCAGCCAGAAAATCAATGCTTAATCTGGTGACTTCAAGAGGAACATCGGCCACCACCTCGGAACCTGGACCCGGACCTGCGTTTTCGTAAATACCCCGGCTTGGAGTGAAGTCCTTGTTCAAAGTCCCCCACTGGTTAGTGGGATTCAAACCCCAGCTGAGGTCCAGAGATCGTGCACTTGGTTCTGCGTGGGGGTGAGTGGCAGCCAAGGAAGTGGGTTCAGAGGCCATGGGGCTTACCAGGCACCTTGATCTTACTGGGCCCAACTGTGGCCCCCAGGGAATCTGAGATGCATCCTGGCTGCCATGGCCCCGGTCCAGGAATCACAGTGGGCTGGGGTGATGGGACCAGCCTGCCTGGGCACAGGGGCCAGAGAAAGGAAGGGAAAAGATGGCATCCAGGGGCCTCCAGCTAAGGGCACAAAGGTGAAGAGGACACCGGGCCTTGGGGAGCTCATGGTGCTGTGGGAGGACAAGCGGAATGAGGGATCCCCATGACAAAAGCAGACACCCAGGCTCGGAGGGTCGCTCGCAGGCCGGTGGCAGAGCAGGGACGCGAAGCAGGGGGAGCCTGCTGCAGCCGCCACCTCTCTGGGTGGGAGTGTGCTTCACTCGGGGCTTGCTCTCTGTGTGAGGCTGACTTTTTCTTGTCCAACAAACACTTACTTGCTGTGTGTCAGGACTGTCCAAGCGCGACGAGTGTCCACTCCCTAAAACTCCCACAATAACCCTGAGGTCAGTGCTGATGGGAAACCAGGCACAGGGTGGGTGGGCACTTGCCCGGAGCCAGGCAGCCTGGGAGAGGGCTCAGCTACCCAGACAGCTCCAGGGCAGAGCACATGCCCCGGAACAAGGAGGACCAGGAGGCCTCGATTTACCCTTCAGCCCGGGTCCCACAAAGGGCTAAGGTCAGGAACTGCCCCTTCTCTGTCCTTAATCTCACGCTAGGACCTGGGCCAAGTAAGAGGTGAGTCCTCAAGGCTGCCAGCCACAGCCTGTGTCGGAGCCTCCTGGGGAGGGGCTGCTGAACCCCTGGTCACACCCGACTTCCCCGCACAGTGCCTGGGGCCGGGGCCTTGGAGCTGTGATTTGCATCCAGTCCCTTGGCGGATGTCAGCTGCCACTCACACTGGGGTCTGAGTACAGGCCTGGCCCCCGAAATGGTGCTGCTCATTTGAGAAGACACAAGCGTCTCAAGCAGAACACAACGGGCCCATAAGATGTGGGATAGAGTTTACAGGACACAGAGAGAAACTCCGCCTCAGAGAAAGGCCCGGGAGGGCTACAGGGTGGAGGAGGAGGGCAAAGGGCCAAGTGAAGAGGCAGGACGTCCAGGCGGAAGGCACTGCCCAAACAGAGGCCCGGAAGCTGGAGAGGGGTGTTCCTGGCTGCAGTAATTAGACCCCGGGAGCGAATGAGGAAGAAGATGTAAGAGAAGGAAGGTGGGTGGGTCGGGCCGGACCCCGAAAGGCCCCGAGGGACAGGTTAATCGGCCAGGTTTCCAGACGCACTGGGCATCAGGGTCACCTGCGGGAGTTCATTCCCTCACTCATTCAAGAGGTGCATACTGAGTGCTACTGTGGGCCAGACATATAGTTCTCAGCCCTGGGGGGCCCGGGGGGAGCTGATGGATGAGACCTCTACCCTGGTGGAGACAGAAGCGTCATCAGAGGACAGAGACTGTAATTAAAGAAACAGCATATAAAATAACGGCAGATCCCTCCGGGTGCTCAGAGGCAAATAGACCAGGACACAGTAGAGAGCGTCTGAGCTGGGAGAGGGGCCATTTGAAACGAGTCCCCGAGATGAGCCAGAGGAGAAATCTGGAAGTGGGTGGGAAGCCCCCAGAACAGATGGACGCTGGCAGCCCCTGTAGGGACTAGACACAAAGCCGCTGAAGGATGCATCGAGGCCATCACCTCTGGGCAGATGGTCATGCGCAAGGCATCACCTGTGCTCTGCAGATGAATGGCTTGACTTGGGATTTGAGGGTCTGCAGAGATGGGATGGATGTAGGGGGTCTCAGAATCAGAAACTCTGACCCTGGGTGAGACCTCGGGGACCAGCCCCTGGCCCAGGGGTCCTCAACCAAATTGAGGCAGAGGGCTGCATCCATGCCCCCGCGCCCTCCTGCCCTGGAATTCAACCGCGGGCTTTGTTTGCAAAAGCAGATCAGGGGCGCCACCTGGTGGCTAGAGCTGAGACCGTGGCCGCTTCAGCCCAGGCCGGGGTCCAGGGTGGCCAGGGCTCAGGAGGCCGGTCCCCTTAGGTCACTTCTGATTTTGTAGATGTTTGTGGTTACACAATTAATATGTGTACCTTGCAGATACAGTAGAAAACCCAGATAAAGCTGAAAGAAAGCAACCACCTGGAATTTCGCACCCAGAACAAACCCTTCTTCACGTGTGCACGGATTTCTTTCTAGGCTTTTCTTTATCCATCCAGGCATTTTCATACAAAAAGTGAATCATACCCCACGGAGAGTCTGTAACCTGCCAAGCTGTTTCCCACTCACCGCTAGATCGTGGCTCTCCTTCGTGCCAATAAATCTGCTTTTACAACATCATTCCTGTAGCTGTGCACGCCCTTTGGGTGTGGCCAGAAAAGTGATTGAGGCTGACTGAGCCCCTGTAGGTTGGATTTCTTTGGAGCAAGGTGAGTTTTCTGGAGTTTTTTCACTTTGTTTTTGACTCCCTTGGGGAAGATAGGAACTTTAAAGCCCTCATTTCTCTGGTGCAGAATGGGTTTTGACAAATCCACATTTAGGGGTAAACTTCATGGTGTCAGGGTCCAACCCCTGCCGCCTCCCTGTGTCTGAAGCTGGGAGCATTGGGGCACTTGCCACTCACGCTGTGAACTGCCCTGGGCCCCTCTGGTAGCCTGAGGGTTTACACCGCCTGAAGTGGACGCACAGGCAGATCATACGCCTCACAGGGCTGGTCTGTGTTCAACAGGTGGTCTTCGTAAAGCACTCCACGCGCGCTCAGCCTGTGGTCAGCCCTTGGTAACTGTCAGCTTTGTTACCATTCAACGGACCACAGGGTGTGGGACAAGAGCACTGCGGCCCGCCAGGCCTGTGTTCTCGTCACTGGCTGTGGGATGGGGGCCTGTTCTCGTCACCTGCTGAAGGGCTGGAATGCCTCCTTGGGGGTCATGGTGGGGCCTGACTTAGTGGGTACTGAGTTAGATCACCCTTTGCTATTCATGAGGCTGTGGCTGTGCCAGGAACCGCAGGCGCTGTGACCACATGTGGAAACGGAGGCACAGGAGGACTAGGTACTTGCCCAAGATCACACAACTAGAAACTGGTTGGGCAAAACCTTGGGTCTGGGGTGGACCAAGTTTGTGTCTTTGGCCCTACGCTGTTGTGTAGACCTGGGAGGCATCCACCCGCATGGTGAGCCAGAGGGGCCTGTGGGCCGACTGTGAGCTCAAATGGGCTCTCTCTTCAGGTCCTGCAAATGAGGCGCCGCCCCACCTCCCTACGTCCCAGACAGGAGGGTTGATGATGTGGGTTTTCTTCCACACTTGGAGGTTGTCTGTACTCATTTTGTGCTCTGGGTTTAATCCTAGAGGGCCATTCACTGGCTGTGTGACCTTGGGCAAGTAGCTTAACCTCTCTGTGCCTCCGCTTTTCTCCATGTGAAACGGGGTAAAGATTCCTTTCTTCGTGGAGTTGGTGGGGGGATGAAGTGAGTGAGTGTCTGTGGGAGTCCAGAGAGCATCAGCTCCTGCAGGGGTCCGGACTTCGATGCCACAGGAGGGCTCGCAGGCAGGGTCCTTGGGAGTCATGCAGGAGCTGGACTGGGGACTTGAGCGGGTACCCAGGTTGCAGGGGTGCTCCCCACGATAGAAGAAAATCAGCCTCTGAAGGGTGCTGGGTTTGTGCTCCTTCCCCCAAATTTGGGGCACTGGCATCAGCTGGAACGGAGGCCCCCCTCGGGGGAGGGCAGAGCAGGAACTTCACCTGGGGTCTGTGGACGGGCTGCAGACCTTGTGCACCACCCCGGAACCGTCGGGGAAACGCGTGTGTCTGGCTGCTTTGTGGGGAAGGAACAGGAGGGGTCACACCGGATCCCCTACCCCGCCTGACTCCACCTCAGGCCTTGGAAGTTTCCGAGCCCAGCCTGGTGAGCGGCGGCCGGCGGCGTGCGGCCAGCAGGGGGCGCTCGGGCCAAGGCTGTGAAAGTGCCGAGCGCCTGCGAGGCCGGCTCCGCGCTCCTCCCCTCCAGGCCGCCCCTGCGCCGAGACCTGCGGAGGGCGCGGGCCGGGGCTGGCTCGGCCTTAAGTCTCCGGGAGCCCGAATGGGGCCGCTGGGGCCACAGCTGGGGCAGCAGCCCACCAGTGCCCAGCTGGAAGCCGCCCCAGACATCTCAGCCCGGGGCGGGTGTCACAGAGTGAGTTTTGACAATTTCCCGGCCTAACCCCACCTGTACAGACGGCTGTCAATCAATCCCTGGGAGGGCCTAGGCTTCAGCCCCCAGGTCTGGGAACCACTGGGCAAGGACTCCCTTCATCCTCAGCATGAGCTCCGACCAGGCAGGGTCTGTCCCTATTTCTGCCCATTTTACAGAGTAGGAAACTGAGGCTCGGAGGTGGCGGGACTTGGCTGAGATTACAGTCAGATTACACACACAAAGGGCTGCGATGCCAAGCCCCATTATTTTTTTTTTCCCATTTATTCTTTTATATTCGTGATATTAACAGCAGCAGCAGCAGCAGCGGCGCCTGTGACGGTAACTTCTCAGTCTGGGCCCTGCTGGCACTCTGAGCTGGATGTCTGTGTGAGGGGCATGGGGTGCGCTGCTCATTGAAGGGCATGGGGTACCCTGCACATTGAAGCACGCTCAGCAGTGCGGGCTGCGTGAGGCTTCCGAGGACGATGCCCGTGTTCTAATCCCAGAACCTGGAACATGTTACCTTACATGGAGAAACAGACTTTGCAGGGGTGATTAAGTTAAAGATCGTGAGGTGGGGGTTCATCCTGCATTATCAGGGTGGCCTTGATGTCATCACAGGGGTCCATCTAAGAGGAAGGAGGAGGTGAGAGGGAAAGGCGGAGGTTCAGAGCCGGTAAGCCGGTGCTGGGGGCGGAGAGGAGTCACAAAAATAGGGCGGGTCCAAGATTTACCACCAGGATCTCCCAGCCACGCAGTTCACCCCCCACGCCCCCGACCTGCAGGCACAGCTGGGAGGGCCAGGCCTGTCCCGAGCTCTGTAGCCAGGGGCGCCACACCCCCTCCCTCCCTGCCACCACCCCCGGACCCCCAACTGACACTCCCGCCTTCAGGGCTTTGCTGGCATTGGCCCTGCTGGGCTGCTTCTCCAGCAGCTGGTGGCACTCAGCTGATTGTGGCAAAGGTCACTGTGCCCCGGGGTGGGCATGGGGGGGCAGGTGAACGAGACATAGTGGGGGAGCTGACCAGCCAGGGGCTGGGTGGTGACAGCCAGGCCGCAGTGATATGTCCTAGGCAGCTTTTTCAGTAACATGTTTAAGAGCACTGGCTTGCAAGCCTGCCTGATGGCTAGGTTTGAATCCTATCTCTGTCCCGGGGCAGTAGTTCAACCTCCCTGAGTGGGCTGCCTGTGAATCATGCAGGGGTGGCTGCATCGTGCTGCGTATCCACAGCTGTCCAAGGAACCCGTTTCACAGGAGCTCTTGCAGAAGGAGGGATTTCGTGGAATGCAAAATCCTGGTCCTGCTGGCCCCTCCCCAGCTGAGGCGGTGTGGCTGCCTGTGGGTGGGTGCCAGTCTGCTTTCATCCACAGGAGCTAGCACCCTGGCGGATGGGAGTGTTAACTCCTCCGTGATGGGCTGACCACCAGGACTGGGAAAATCTGGTTTTCAATCTGAAATTTTGAACGTGGGTCTCACTTGTCAGCCATGTGGCTTTGGGCAAGCCTCCCTTGGTCCCAGTCTCATCATGTACTTAAGAGTAGGATTAAAGAATGCTTAGAAAATGCCCTCATCACAGAAGGTCCCCACCATTCTAAGCACCCCTAAATTCAGGGGTGAGCCTGGATTGGCTACAGCTAATGACTCTCATCCCCATGCCCAATTGGAGGTGGTAAATACTGGGGCGGTTTAGAAATTGCTTTTGCCCCCTGTGGGAATGTGAGGTCTGGAACCACTGCAGCCACTTTGTTGCCAGCAGGGAGGAACTCTTAGTGGCTGTAAAGTCTCGGTGTGGAGCCTGAAAAAGCTGAGTCTGTGGGAAGCCATGCAGAGAGACGGCGGGACGGTGGGTCCTGAATCACATTGTTTGAGCTTCTGGATGAGGCCTTACCTGAACTCTGATAGTTTGCAAGAGTCAATAAACACACTAAAAAAAAAAAAACACTCTTCTTGGTTTTGAGTCAAAAGTACCAATAGATCTGCAATATCCCACCTACAATATTTAACAGATGCCTAAACATACAGTCATCCCCTGGTATCCCCAGGGGATTGGCTCCAGGACTCCCTGTGGATACAAAATCCATGGATGCTCAAGTCCCTGATATGAGATGATATAGTATTTGCATGTAACCTATGCACATCCTCCTGTATACTTTAAATCATCTCTAGATTACTTATAATACCTAAAACAATGTACATGCTATGTAAGTGGTTGTTATACTGTATCATTTAGGGAATAATGACCAAAAAAGTCTACATGTGTTTCGTACAGATGCAGTCATCTTGTTTTTCAGATATTTTCAATCCTCAGAACCCACACATACGTAACTGACTGTATTTTTAAAAATCTTATCGGTTTCATTTTTCCCACTTGAAACTTTATTCCCACATTCACTCAGCCTTCCATTCCAGGCCACACCCAGTGGCTTCGTAGGTTTTCTGTGCAGTGTGAGGCTTCAGATTCTCACAACTCCTCAGGCAGGGTTGTTGGGTTTTTTGTTTTGTTTTGTTTGTTTGATTTTCTGTGTGGTCTTTCCTGGCATGTCTCCTTTTTTTCAGAGGGACCATCCACCAGTCTCTTCCTGAGAAAGGGGGCGTGGAAGGTAAGTGTATTAGTCCATTCTCATGCTGCCAGTAAAGACATACCTGAGACTCAGTAATCATAAAGGAGAGAGGTTTAATTGACTCACAGTTCAGCACGGCTGGGGAGACCTCAGGAAACTTAAAATCATGGTGGAAGGGGAAGCAAACATGTCCGCCTTCACATGGCGGCAGCAAGGAGAAGTGCCAAGCAGAAGGGGGAAAGCCCCTTATAAAACTATCAGATCTTGTGAGAACTCACTTAATATCATGAGAACAGCAGCATGGGGGTAACCACCCCCACGATTCAATTACCTCCCATCAGGTCCCTCCCACGACACATAGGGATTATGGGAACTACAATTCAAAATGAGAATTGGGTGGGGACACAGCCAAACCATATCAGAAAGTTTTCGAGCCATTTTATTGGATAATGTTCTTGTCAATCCGTTCTCCCAGTGAGCACTTTGCAGGGGGATAGCAAAGCCAGGGTGGAGGCATCTCCCTGAGAATTCCGAAGGCATTTTCCTCCACCCACCATGTTGCCACTGAGCCATCTTATGCCATTGAAGTTCCAATAGTTTTTCCTGGTGTGTGACCATTTTTATTTTGTCTCCAAAGGCTTTTAGAATCTTCTCTTTATTTCTAGTTTTCTAAAATTTCATCATAATGGATGCCTTGATTGGGGCTTTTGTATTCATTGTGCCAACTATTAGGAGGGCCTTTCCATCTAGAAATTCATGGTCTTTCATTTTGGGACTTTTGTATTTTTAAGATAATATATACCTCCCACTTTCCTCATACTTTCTACTTATGAGATGTAGGACTGACTTCATTTATCGAGTAATTTCTTTTTTCCCCTGTTGTTTTCCATCTTACAAACAAATCTTTACATCTGGGAAGCTTTTTTTCAACTTTATTTTTCCAACCACCATACTATTCCTTTTTAACATTTTTTCAGCTTTCATGCTTCCAATGTCAAGGAGCATGTTCTGGTTCTCCTAAACGTCCTTTATTCAACAAATCATTCTTGCTTTCTGGTTGTGATAACCTCGCCTCCCTTGGAGGGTGTTAGTGACTGAGCTTTGATGTTTTCTTCTGTTCACTGCATTTTCTCTTCTTCCTCCTAATTTCTCTTGTATGTTTGCTTGCTTTTGTCTGACCTTCATATTAAAAGCTTTCTTCAAATGTCTTGCGAAAACACCTTTTTACATAAAGAAGTTCATTTGAGTAGGGTTTTCTGTAACTAACAGGCTACTAGTGACCCCTCAGTCCACCCCACCTTGCACACTCCCAAAGTGAAAGCCACCACGACCATTAATTGCATCTTGCCCCCACATTTTGTGAGGGAGGCAGAGAAGAAATTCTTGGTGTTGCACAAAGTAGGGACAGAGGTACAGGGAGGGTCAAATGATGGGCCCCTGGCACAAGGAGGGCTGGGCAGCACCTAGACCAGAACCCATCCTCTGGGCTGCACCTGTCCCTGGCATCTGCCATCTCTGTGTAAGGCCACTGTCCATCCCATGCATCCAACCTGTAGCCAAGGAGGATGGTGGGAGCCTGACACCCACTCCCTGTAGGAACCTTGGAAGAGCCTTTAATCTGTGAAGTTCCTCAACATCACAATTGTCCTTCAAATGAAGGGATGTTTTGTCTTTCTTTCTCTAAAGAAAGGCTTTCTGTGTTTCAAGAATTCTGAAAAGTAACACCCATACATACACCATTCCCTGAAGTAGACACTTGGTTTTTGTGGGTGCAGCACTGCTTCCCTTTTCTGATCCCAGAACCACTCTTTCTTGGGGAACACATCCCACATAGAGGACCTCAGCCTCCCCTACTATGAGAGAGCACATTGGACCCCACAGTAGTCAATCAGGGAACTGCATTCTCCCTGACTGGTTCAAGGATCAGCATATGACCCATGCACAGCCAATCTGAATCCTCCCTGCAACATACTCCCAGCAGCATTTGGTTTGAGGATGGCTTTTTCTCCCAGGGTTTCCACATTGGCAGACCGTGAGCCTTCGGTGGCTGGGGCCCTGTGGAGAGAGCCTCATCAGAGGGATGGAGAGAAAGAAACCTGAAAGGAAGGCTTAAGCCTCTGGATCCAAGCATTCCTGAACATGAGTGTCCCTTGATTCCCCAGTTGCATGAGCAAATATATTCACCATTGTGTCTGAGCCTGGGGAGCTAGGCTTCTGCCATTCAAAGCCAAAATGCCCTTGAGTCCCTCTGTAGACTCTTCTTCCTGCTCTAAGCATCCGCTTTTGGTTGCCTGGTAAAATCCCACAATCGAGGAGTCCTGTCTGAGGTCACCCAGAGAGGAGGAGAGCAGCTGGAATGAGAACATAGAATTGTATCTGTGAGCAGGTTGGTGGTTTCAGAAAATCATTTCCAACTCCTGGAGCAAATTCCTCCTCCCCGCATCCAGCTCTTGGGGCTGCAAGCTCCATTTGCACACACCATCGCAGAAGGGAGGGGCAGATGGGCGGGCTAGCCAAAGCACGGGGTGAGAGGCGGATGGACTTAATCATTCTCTGCTTTTAACGGTATCTAGTTAATTTCCTTCACAAGGAGACCAACATTGACCTTCACCTCTGGCCCCCATTAACTGCTAGCAATGCTTTGTCAGCGTATTTATGACAAATTAATTACACAGGGAAAGTCTTGCTGGGAAAATGAGTATTCTGGTTCAGACTGGGGGTGGAAGCTGCATATTTTGATTCCTCATTGACAGGGGGCCTGGTTATCCACAGAGTTTGGCCAAACTTTGAGGCAAGCAACTGATTTGCAGCTCCATGCAGAAGGAAGACACGTCCAGAAAGAGAGCCAAATGCCATTCTCATCCCCTCCTGCCTAGTGACTCATGTTTGCAAACTGGATGCTCCATGAGAAAATACTCTGGGGATCCCAGATCAGCATGGCGGTTGAGATAACTTTGCCTACAGTGTGGCTGAGCAGCTCCAGTCCATGGGACAAGAGCCCCTATCCCCCATAGTCAATACAATGGCCGTATGGACCCAGTCCTCCCTGTGGGCTGACTTGTGCAGCAGTGTCTGGTCCAAACTCCCAAGCAGCCATGGTCTGGTCCCTACCTGCCTCCCCAGCCAGCCTCCCTCCACTCTTCTTTGTGCTGGGCTCTCTGGCAATACCCAAACCACAGTGGTTCTCTGAATAACTCAGCTGGTTCTGATCTTCATGACTTTACCCCAGCTGTGCCCCTGCCTAGAGCACCATTTCCACCCTACACAGCCTCCTCCCGCTGCCTGGTCTTGAAAAATGGGCTCTCGAGAGTTTATTCCTCCTCCAGGAAGCCTCCTGAACCCCTCTAGGCTGTGTCTGCGCCCCTGTCCCACACTCCCATGATTCCCTGTGATTGTTCCTGCTCTGAACTCCCTGCCTGTGTGTGTCCCCCTCCTGGCTCGCTGTGAGCCACTATCAATGACAGGGTTTTATCTCCCACTCTCAGTAGCCCAAGAGCCCAGCACAGGGGTTAGCCTGCAGGATGTGGTCAGTGAAGGGCCTTATCCAGCACACATTGGACCCTGGAGATGTAAGAGTCAAAAGCCAGGGCCCCTGAGCCCAGTAAATTCCTCATTCGAAGCTGAGGAATGCAGCGGACTTCTGAGGTTCTAGCCTGTCCAGCATGCTTTTCCTGGTAACTTTAGAAAACAGCTGATCCATCACCCTTAGGCCATGTGACTGGGGGTGGTTGCTCCCCATCCTGGTTCCAGAGATAAGCTATGTGATACCAGTTGGCCAATCACTGCCTTCCATTCCTCTGGCCAATGAGTAGTGGGGAATAGGCATACAATTAAAGCCATCTGTTGTGGCTTTTGCTGTCAGGAGAGTCATCCCTCTCCACTGGGTAGCTAAGCTAGTGGTGTGGGGGCCTGGAGTTGCCAAGGGCTGTCTTTGAAAACAGAGGAAAGCAGCAGGGAGGTGGAGCAAGGCTGAGTTCTAAGACATCACCTGAGCTCCTGGATCTAGACATTCCTGAAGCAGGCTCTATGCCTGGACTTGTCCGTTAGAACAGTCAGTGTATCCCCTTTTGTGCTGAAGCAGGCCTCAGCTTTCTGTCATCTACAACCAAATGAGTCTTGATGGACATAGAGCTAGACTAATGACAAGGAAATGTTGGGACAGTGAAGTGTGGGTTTGATGTAGGGAGCAGAGGAGGCTTCAGGAGCAGACAGGAGGCATCCAGCTAGGCTGGGAGCTCTGAAATCTCCCAGTAAGGTCATGCCTCAGGTTGAGTAGCAGTGAGCTAAGGGGAGTGGGTAGGGGAGGTGAGGGAGCAGCTGCCCTTCAGAAATGGAAATCCCAGTGGAACCGGCTTCAGCACAAAGGGGACCTTTCAGTTCGTCTAATGGGTAAGTGCTAGGATAGGTTCCGCTTCAGGAATGACTGGATCTAGGAGCTTAAACAATGTCTTACAAATCCCCTTTAACGGATGAACTGTAAGTTCTACCTGTCAGTCTAGGTTCTGACCAATATGTCAAGGCATCTGCCTTAAAGATCCTCCCAGTTAAGTTGGGCAAGGAGACATGAGTTTGTTCAATAAGTGTTTTTACTGAGGCCCTGTGATGAGCCAGCCCCTCCCTACCAAGGTAGATATTAGCCCCAGGGGGCATCAGCTTTTGGATGTCAGATGCCAAGGCCAGTGAAGGAGACACAGCAGAGTGTGACAAACTCCCACCTGAGGGCTGGGTGTGGCATTGGAGTTGCGGGCAGCAGAATGCCTCTGTGTGTGCATGTATGTGTGTACACGTGTGTGTGCACATGTGTGCCTATGTGCACATTGAAGGAAGGACACAGCTCTTGTTCCACAATCACCCTGCCCAGCTGATCACCACCTCCCTCTATCCCCCTCTATCTTCCTCCCACCATGCCCCACCAAATCCCTCCACTACCCACCCCACCCCGTGGTTCGGGAAATGTTGCAGAGCCCATAGCCCTTCTAGGGGAACT